TACATTTACAACCCATCTTGGATAATCCAAACGGTTAGAAGGTTCCAATATGACTCTCACGATCTTGTGTTCGATTACGGGCTGAGTTATAAAAAAAGAACACTAATACAAAATTAAAACAGAAAATCAGACGTGAAATTAGAACGAACCTTTTTAGGGTAAAAAATACCAAAGTGTTAAAAAATGCTTTGATGTATCAAACTGTAATGAGATTGACCTTAGGGCTAGCAAAGTGTTAAAAGTAAACTTTGAGGTATAAAATTGAAAACAAGCCACGGATAAATCGCCACTCGCTCACAAAATCTCTGCTCATGACTCGTTGACTCCCCCGTTTCTCTCTTCCTTTTCAAAAATCATTCCGCCTGCTCACTTCAGAGAGGCGAAGCCGACTAAAATCCCCCAAAACGCTGGCAAGCTCTCCATCAAAACCCTAACTCTCTAACTCCTACTCTCTCAACAAAAAATAAAATAAAAAATAAAAAAATGCCGCGCGAGATCATAACGATCCAAGTGGGGCAATGCGGGAATCAGATCGGCATGGAGTTCTGGAAGCAGCTCTGCCTCGAGCACGGCATCGGCAAAGATGGACTTCTCGAGGATTTCGCTACTCAGGCACGAAATCGACCCGCCTCTGTTATTTTTATTTTTCTTTTTTTCTTCTTGTGTTTTGATTTACATTTTTGCTGGTTTTGGTTATTCATTGGTCGGATTCGGTTCGAGTGATCAGGGCACGGAGTTGGATTTTTTGATGGCGTGGTGCGTATTTTGTGCATTTTAATCCCTTTTTATGTGAAAAGGGAGAAAAAGATATAATCTGAGATATGGATGAGTTAAAAAGGCTAATCTTTTGATGCGTAGGGATGATTAGGGCATAAAGATTGGGGTTGTTTGGTTCACTATGAATCAAGTGAAAATTTATTTCGTTACGTTGAATTTGTGTAAAGTTTATGAAATAGAATTGCCCATTTTGTACTTGGCGAGGCGAGGCGTGGCGTGCGTGCGCGCGCGCGTGTGTGGAGAAAGAGCTCAAACACTAGTAGGCCCAAAACATTACTCAAAGCCCATTAGGAAGTGAACCATTATAAACCACTTGAACTTCTCTTCAACTTCCAATGTGGGACTATTCACAATTGCCTTTTCCTTAAGAAAATGCTAACAGGATGTTTGATGCTCTCAAATATGTTTGATGGGTATGCTTAATTAAGGGCATCTCCAACCCAGACCCATTTTGGTGCAAACAGTGCTTTTTGTTGCACTGTTCCTTCTCCAATCCAGCCCAATTTTCTGCTCCATTTTGGTGCAAATGAACAGTGTTGCACCAAATATGGCGTCGCACTGTTCATTCGCCCCATTACTGTTCACTTTTTTTTAAATTTTTTTAAATATTTGTTTTTACCTCTCAATTAATATAAATCGCCCCATTACTGTTCACTTTTTTTTAAATTTTTTTAAATATTTGTTTTTACCTCTCAATTAATATAAAAATAGATAAAAGGGAATAAAGTGAGAATATACTGAGAATATTCTTTTTTGGTGCAAAAAATGGTACAATGGGTTGGAGATGTATTACTGTTTGATGTGACTTTTGCACCATTTTGATGCAAAATTTGCACCATTTTGGTGCAATGTGTTGGAGATGGTCTAAGTACTTTGCTTGATACAAATCTTTTAGTAAAAGTGACATGGATGGTATGATGTTCTTAAATACACTAAATATATTTATCGTATAAAGAAATCACAGAAATTTATATCAACAAATTCAGGAAACTTTATTAATGTTTGGAGTTCTTTTCAAATCATAAATTTCAGATGTATGAAACCACTGCTAAAATTTGAGGCATCCTAGATGGAAAATTCCGTCTAGGATACCCAGAATTCCGTCTAGAATACGCGTCTAGTTTATTTCCGTCTAGTATGTAGTATTCTAGACGGAATTTCCGTCTAGAATACATCCTAGACGGAATATTCTAGACGGAATTAAAAACCGTCTAGAATACATCCTAGACGGATTATTCTAGACGGAATTTCCGTCTAGAATAATTTATCCTAGACGGAAAAAAATTCCGTCTAGAATAAGTATTCTAGACGGAAATTCCCGTCTAGAAATCTTATTCTAGACGGAATTTGATTTTCTGATTTTTTTATTTTTTTTATTTTTTTTATTTTTAAAAAGTATTCTAGACGGAATTTAAGCATCCTAGACGAAATTTCCGTCTAGGATACTATGCTACAGTTTTTTTTTGCAGAATCTAGTTTTAGTTCAATGAATGTTATAACAGCATCAGAGAAATATAATACAAAATTTAAAAACAATTAATTACAAAGCTCAAATCTGTAGAGTGAATTCATAATATAGCTCCAATAAAAATGCTTCTTATTTTACAATGAGAATGGCAATCATACTTTGCATATACAAATCAAAACTATATCAACGAAAAGGGGCTCTAAAAAAGAGAACATGAAAGACAGTGGAGAGCCCAGATTTGCCCTGACATCAATCAAGAATATTGTCCTCTACCAAACAACCCTGGATGAATAACACCCCCTTAGAAACAAACCAACACTTTCCCCTGAACGGGTCTGCACATCTAGCAAAATGGATGCAAAGTAGACAAGATAGAAGTTGCCAACAATTGCCTCGCCATCACAGTAGAAAATCTGACAAATAGATACACAAAACCGAGTGAAGTTGAGCACCAACAAAAGATCCAAACTTTATACATCCCGTCGAGCCTCGCCTGGTCCTTCTTGCTCTGCAGTATCTCCTTCCCATCCCCGCCCCCCTCCCCCTCCCCTCCTCCCTCCTCTTCAACCAATGCTCCATGCTCTGTGAAAGAATGGCATATAACATCAAATAAAAGCAACAAATATGTTCAAAATCAGACGGTGGATTTAATTCAGTGCAATAACAAATATGTTCAACCAATGCTTCATAGTAGTTTCCAATTTTCCCACCGCTGGAGCAGGTTTTACATTTGTTGACTTTGGTTTCCACTCCTTTGTAGGACCAACTGCTGAAGGAAAAACACGACATGATATTAGTGTGTTGAGAGCCCCCCTTGAATACTATCCTTCTGAAGAAATGTAAGCTGCTTATCTTCTCCGCTGTAACATAACTTTTAAAGATGGTGTATCATCCTGCTCCGGCTATTTTTCATGACTTGCAATCTTCTCCTTAGCATTCACATGCTCCCCAATCTCCCTACAGAACCAAGCACATTCAAATTAACTAGAAAACAAACTCATAAATTGCATACAAGAGACTAATCCAATCTTAACTGTGTGAGAGCATCGTCAGTTGCATCACAAACTCATAAATTGCATACAAGAGACTAATCCAATCTTAACTGTGTGAGAGCATCGTCAGTTGCATCCCGACGAACAGGTTCAACGCGTCCAGGTACCTATCCCAATCGATCAGCACGAAGAGGATGCAGGAGTAGGTGGCGACATCGGGCTTCACCTGTGAGTGGAGCATATCGTCGAGCACGCCGCGGGCGTCCCTGAAGAGGCTGGCCTCGGAGAGGGCGTCGACAAAGGAGTTGTAAGCGTCTAAGCGATGAGGTCGGGCGCAAGGCCCCTCCGCCGCAGGCCGGGGAAGAGGAGGAGTGCCCCGGAGTAGTCGCGGAGGGAAAGGGAGAGATGGATCAGGTTGGTGGAGAGGACGAGGTTCCCTTGGCAGAGGAGGGAGGAGAGGAGGGTGGAGTAGGTGACGGCGTCGGGGGAGAGGGAGAGATGGATCAGGGGGGGAGCTTCTTATTTTGATTTTGGGCGGAAATTTAGGGGGGAATTTTGAATTTGGAGCGAAAAATTGATGTTTTTATTTTTTTTTATATGGGTCATAGTATCCTAGACGGAAATTTCCGTCTAGGATACATGACCATTTTTAAAAAAAAATTAAAAAAATAGAACCGTCTAGAATACTATCCTAGACGGAAATTTCCGTCTAGGATGTTTTATTCTAGACGGAATATTCTAGACGGAATTTTTCTGTCTAGTTTAATACAAACTAGACGAAAAATTTTCCGTCTAGAATATTCCGTCTAGGATATTCGATTTTTTACTAGTTGAGCATTGAAATTAAAGACACTGAGATCTAATAATGATACAGAGTATACAGAAAAAAAAAAAACAAAATTTTCAACTTTGTCTTTGTAATACTATCAAGATGATATTCATATAAATATAAGATAGATATTGAAAGAGGTAAATGCGTTAATATTGAAAGAGGTAAATGCATTTTTAGAGTATTCTTAAAAGCGAGATATAAAAACGGTGAGATATGACCTTGCCTCAAACCGGATAAAATAATATAAGATAAGTAATAGAAGACATAAATGTATTTTCGGTGAGCTTTTTTGTAAGGGAAAGATCGTAACATAGTAGTAAAACTGTGTTTATAATATATATATATATGTGTGCGTGTGAGAGAGAGAGAGAGTGAAGTGTGATGAATGATATGTATTAAAGTCAAAATTGTGCGAAACCCTGCGTTATTATTTGGTACTTAATCTTCAGCCTATTAAAGTTAAATTTTGATTGTTTGAGTTATGAATATGAACATGGTAGTAATAATAATAAAAAAGGCTAAATAGCACATAAGTACCTCAGATCTAGTTTACATGACTCCACACTTTTATACTTAAAGTATTCTGTTTGACATTTAAATAACATATAAATACCTTAGAGTTTACATGCTCCACACTTTAAAGTTATATACTACTTCTATTGGTAAATTAGAACACATTATTGTTAAACATTGGAATATACCCCTAGACATTTCATATAACTAGCATAGAATGAAAATTGGTTAATTTCAATATCAGTCGCCACACTTAACAAAAAAGTAGTAATGTGCAACTTTAAAAAACAATAGGGTATTTGAAAGTCAGAAAAAAAAACTTCAGGTATAAAAGTGCAAAGTCATGTATGTAATCTTCATGGTATTTAAGTGCTGTTTTAGCCTAAAATTGAAGGGGTTTTTTAGTCATTATCTCAGAAAACCAGGCCGTGGGGTTCGGTTCACCAAAAAATATGAGACCTAAATTACGTGACGGCGGGTTTTCTTCCCTCTTCCTCCTCCCAAAAATCTCAGGGAGATGGTTCTCTCGAACAAAAAACTGAAGCAAAAACTTCGCTCTCTCCTCGCTCAACAATCAATCTCCGCCTCAGAGTCTAAGAAATCACACAAGGAATCGTCGGAATCAGGCATCAACGAAGAGCTCCAGAGCATCAAAGAGCTATTGATCTCGAAATCTCGAAAGAAACCCAAGTCAGGGAATCCAAGGAAACGAATAAAGAAGGCACCTTTGGTGGAGAATCCAGAGGATGATGAAGGGAGCGAAGAAACCCACAATGGAAATAGCGAGATTTCACTGAAAGAGGAGGTAAAGAAGAAGAAGAAAGAGAAGAAGAAGGAGAAAGATGAACAGGGAATCGAGGGTAAGAAGAGGAAGAGAGAGGAGGAGAGTGATCGAGAGTTAATCGAGGAGAGGAAGAGGAAGAAGAGGGAAAAGAGGGAAAATAGACAGAAGAAGCAGAAGAAAGAGAAGGTTCAGCCTGAGGAGGAGAAGTTTCAGAAGGCTAGCGAGATTGTCGAGAAAGAGAGAAACCAGAAAATTGTTGAGGAGCCAGTCAAAATCGATGAAAGGTGAGGACCCATTTGTTAAGTTGGTGTTCTTTTGCGATTATTTGATTGCCCAATTCATATTTATAGCTTAATACTGATGTTTGAGCAATGCATGATGAATTTGTTATGAGGTTTATTATTTGTGCATTTTGCTTGCAGTGAAACTCAGAAGCTGATCAAAATCGATGAAAGGTGCAAACCCATTTGTTACATTTGTGTTGTTTTGCATTTATTTGATTACCCAAGCATATTAATAGCCTAATGATGATGGTAAATTTTGTAAGGGATTTTATGGGTTTTGTTGTTTGCGATTTATTTTAACAGCAGTGAAACTAAGAAAGTATATGTTGGAGGCATCCCATACTATTCGTCTGAGGATGATATAAGGAGTTTCTTTGAAGGTTGCGGCACTGTTACTGAAATGGACTGCATGACTTTCCCTGAAAGTGGCAAATTTAGGGGAATTGCTATTCTTACTTTCAAGGTTTGATTAATCCTTTCAATACTTATTCATTTTCGTTTTGATGACATATAACTTACTGGGTTTTAGTATAAAGTTGATAATTAGCGAATATTAGTCAAGAGAAGATAATTCATAGTGGAAAGGTACCTCTATGGCACCCTCGGATTTCTTAGAGCTTTGCGAACTGCGATTGTCAGCTTTGCTGGATCCTGTTGCTGTGCATCCGGCACGTTCTCTTGGTCTCCGTCTTCTATGCTGACTGGTATCTCACCGTCGTCCTCACTGTCAGCAATATTTGGATAAGAGGGGGAGATAGCTGATTCCCACTCACCTCTTTAGTCTTGTACACCGCATCCTCATGGAACACGACGTCACGACTGCGCACCACCTTACGCGCATTGTGATCCCAGAAACGATACCCATAGTCATCTCCTCCATAGCCGATGAAATAGAGCTTCTTTGATTTTGGATCAAGTTTTGACCGGTCTGTAGGATTGGTCATAACATAGGCAAGCTTCAGCTTTTTTCCGGTCTAAGCCTCTTTAGGTATCCCATATCTGAAAGCCGCAGATGGCCCGCGGTTAATCAAATATGCAGCAATATTCACAACATCAGCCCAAAAACTCTTGGGCAATCCGAAATGGATTCTCATACTTCTGGCATGCTCTAAGATAGTGTGATTCATACGTTCCGTCATTCCGTTGTGCTGAGATGTGTCTGGAACGGTCTTCAGTCTTCTAATCCCATGGGATGAGCAGAAGTTCTCAAACTCTTGACTGTAATACTCATCTTTATTATCAGACTTTAGATATTTCAGCTTATTGCCTGTTTCGTTCTCTACACAGGCAGCCACTTCTTAAAGATGATGAAAATATCTGACTTTTGCTTCAAGAAGAATACCCATAATTTTCTAGCAGCATCATAAATAAAAGAGACAAAGTAAAGAGAGTTGCCAACAGATGAGACTTGCGCAGGTCCCCACACATCGGTGTGCACCAACTCTAATTTCTGCAGTTTTAGAGCCGGTTCGGTCTTGTTAAAGCTCACATTCTTCTGTTTTTTAGGATGCAGTCCTTACAGAAAGTCAGATCAATCTTTCTCAGACTCGAAAACCTCTCTCCTGCGGTCATAATCTGTATCCCCTTCTCGCTCATGTGGCCAAGTCGTCGATGTCAAGTTATGCAATCGGTGGATGATGATGATGCTTGTCCTGCGACAAGCGGTCGATCTTTCCATTAGCGATGTAGAGAGGCTCATCGCGTTTGCGTGTGCTATCACCAGGGCACCATTGGACACCTTCTAGCTTTTCTGCTCGAAGGATATCTGTAATCAGAGCCAGTCAGTTACCCGACTGATATAAGATTTTGCATGAGATTTGGCACATACCGAACGTCGTTCAGCATCAAGGTGGTCCCACCCTCCATCTTGAGGGTACAAATTTCCTTCCTAAAAACATTGCAAGGTTGATCGTCGTCAAGGTAGATTGTCCCAAAGTCCTTCAGGAACGATGAAAGCAGCTTTTGTTGTGAGGTTGCATGAAAAGATGTGCCAGAGTTAATGACCAACACATCGCTCTTGTCTTCAAGAGATAAGAGAAGCGCATCCGAATCCGTCTCGTGCATGAGATTGACTGCATCGTCAGCCTGATCATCCCCTGCTGATACTGGAATAGAAGCTCTATAGTCCCGTGCAAAGTGATCCTTCTTTTCACATCTGAAGCACTTTCTTTCACAGTAACCATTCAGGTTCGGCCCTTTAGACTTCCCTCTGGACTTTGATTGGCCTCGTCGTCCCCTACCCTTCTTCTGCGCACGCCCTCGTGCCTCGACATGCATAACACTCTCACTGCTAGAGACCTCAGCTCCTGAGACTTTGCGGCGAGATTCTTCATCCAGAATTGTCCCAATCATTGTGTTGAGCTTCATCTTGTCATTACCATTGGCATTGCTCACCGTCATCACCAAATTCTCCCACGAATTTGATAGACAAGAAAATAGTAGAAGAGCTTGAATCTCATTGTCGAACTTGAGATCCACTGCAGCAAGCTGTTGCACCAAAGCCTAAAATTCGTTCAAGAAGTCCGTCACACGAGCTCTTTGCTACATCTTTAGATTGAATAGCTTCTTTATCAGGTACACCTTATTTGAAGCAGATTTCTTATACAACGTCTCCAAGGGCTCCATAAACTCCTTGGTGGTGATCACATGTGAGACGTTGTAAGTCACATGCTGGTGAAGGTTGAGCCTGATGTTGACAAGTGCTTTACGATCGAGCATCTTTCACTTATCGTCGTCCATCTTCTCAGGTTTCCCTCCACTCCTTGGAGAGGTAGGAAGAGATCCTTATGGTACAAATAATCTTCTATCTGCATCCTCCAATACCTGAAATTTTGACCGTCGAATTTCTTAATCCGAAGCCTATTGTCTTCAACTGTAGACCCTATGGTGAAAAATTCCGTAATTTCTCGAACCATATTTGTGAATAGTAACAATACTTATGAATAATACTATACTCGTGAATAGTGCCCAATGCTTTTAAAGAGTAAATGATAATCTAACTTATTTTTTGACGTGGAGGATCCACTTTTAGTGGCATTTACAGAGCATACGATAAGCAGATATACGTATTCTAAATCTGATTTTGATACCAGTTGTTAGGATATACATCAACAAGAACGCCTCGAACGGAGACGCAATACACACCCAAACGATTTTGGAATCACAGAATAAAGACACAGATTTAATCACAATACTCACAGATATAACGTGGTTCACTCTTACGGAGCTACTCCACTGTGCAACGACGACGCCCAGTTCTTTTATATTCCAAAGGAATTAGATCAAAGTGAACACCCTCTCTTGATCAAGATACACTCCAAGAATTTTCATAAACCCTCTCCTTGATATTAGGAAAAACTCTTTATTTTTTTTCTTTCTCACTCTTCTATAAGAGTTGTTTCTGGAATGCTTTTTCCTGAAGAGTTTTGGTCCTATTTATAATGTTTGAGAAACAGTATGCACTAATAATATATTATTAGTGATGGGACCCGTCACCTTTTTTTAAACTTTCCAGCCATTGATTTTAGTGAAATAATAAAAAATAGGGCCCGCCACATTTTATTATTCAATTTTGGTGGCTGTTGGTTGACAATGGTAAGCCAGAGGGTTATGAGGAGGTATAACATACCGGCAAAGCTCGTGGCGAGTGGGAGTCTGCCATGGAGGAAGAAATAAAATTCTTAACGAAGAATGAGACTTGGGAGCTCGTAAAGCTTCCAAGAGGGCGAAAAGCTTTCACAATCGGTGGATTTATAGGGTCAATGATGAAGCCGATGGGCGGAGACGCTACAAGACGAGACTTGTAGTGAAGCGCTATGAGCAGAAAACAGTGATAGACTATTTTGACGTTTTTGCTCGTCAAGTTGACCATGATCCGGACTGTGCTGAGCATTGTGACAGTTCGAGATCTTTATCTAGAGCAGATGGATGTGAAGACTTCATGGAGATTTGGAGAAAGAGATCTATATGCATCAACCAGTGGGCTTCGAGGATCGAGACAGGGAGGGCCTCGTGTGCCGCATGTGTAAAAGCTTGTATGGCCTGAAGCAAACTCTATGACAGTGGTACATGAAGTTTGAGAACTTTATGGAGAAGAACAGTTTTCTCAAATGTGACACAGACTATTGCTGCTTTATTAAGAGATATGGCAAATCCTATGTAATACTCTTAATTTATGTTGATAACATGTTGATTGCTGGGCCCGACTTGGTCCGCATTGAGGAGCTCAAGGGGTGTCTTTCCGAGTGCTTCGAGATGAAGGATCTTGGTCCAGCAAACCAGATTCTTGGGATGAGGATCATTAGAGACAGATCAGCACGGATGCTGAGGTTGTCTCAGAAGACCTATATTGAAAAGGATCTGGGTTTAGCAAACCAGATTCTTGGGATGAGGATCATCAGAGACAGATCAGCACGGAGTCTGAGGTTGTCTCAGAAGGTCTATATTAAAAAAATTCTTGAAAAGTTTGGCATGAAGAAAGCTAAATCGGTGGGCTCACCGTTTGCGAGCCATTTCAAGCTATCAAAGACCCAAGCACCAGAGACTGCTGAAGAGCATGAGTTCATGGCTAACATACCATACGCATCTGTCGTCGGGAGTTTGATGTATACGAGGTGTGCACGAGGCCAGATATTGCACAAGGAGTGGGAGTTGTGAGCCGTTTTATAAGCAATCCGGGGGAGCATCACTTGGGTGTGGTCAAGTGGCTTCTACGTTACTTGATATGCTTGTTCGATCGTTATCTTGAGTATGACAGGGCGGATTTACAGCTAGAAGGCTTTTGTGATGCAAACTACGCCGGGGACATAGATTCGAGAAGGAGCACGAACGGCTACATATTCATCTTGGGTGGTGAAGCGATAAGTTAGAGATCCAAGTTACTGGATACTGTGATTTTGTCGACAACCGAAGTGGAGTACGTATCTGTAGCAGAAGTATCAAAGGAGTTGCTATGGTTGAAAGCTTTTCTTCTCGAGTTTGAGGTAAGCTTCAAGAAATATTTCATCCACTGTGACAGTCAAAGTGCCATTCACTTATCAAAGAATGACGCATTCCATGTTCGGACTAAGCATGTTGACGTGAAACATCATGTCATACGGAGATGGCAAAACAGGAACGAGTTCAAGCTTGTGAAGATTGATACGAGGTACAATCCGGCCGACATGCTGACTAAGCCAGTTTCGCTCGAGAAGGTGAGGCTGTGTGCAACCTCATATGCCTCCGTTGAGAATGTTGATGACCGTGTAAAATGCCAAAGATACAAGACATCCGGATGATGCAACCAAGAATAGTGTGAAGATATGGTTCATACTCAATCAAATCTTCAAGTGAGAGATTGTCAGCTAGTAGTCGCCAAAATTGAATAATAAAAGGTGGCGGGTCCTATTTTTATTATTTCATCGAAATCGGTGACCTAAAAGTTTGAAAAAAGATGACGGGTCCCACCACTAATAATATTTTATTAGTACATAGTATTTCCCAAACACTATAAATAGGACCAAAACTCTTTAGGAAAAATCATCCCAGAAACAACTCCTCTTATAGAAGAGTGAGAGAAAGAAAAAATAAAGAGCTTTTTCTAATATCAACGAGAGAGTTTGTGAGAATTTTTAGAGTGTATCTTGATCAAGAGATGGTGTTCTCTTTGATTTAATTCTTTTAGAATATAAAAAAACTGGGCGTCGTCGTTACACCGTGGAGTAACTCCGTAAGAGTGAATCACGTTATATCTGCGAGTACTGTGATTGAATTTGTGCCTTTATTCTGTGATTCTAAAATTTTGGGTGTGTATTGTGTCTCAGTTCGAGGCGTTCTTGTTGACGTATATCCTAATAGCGAAGATGCTCCTATTGTTGATCTATGAGTTTCATGCACCTTGGAAATCACAATTTAATTTTCTATGACAGAGATGAATTTGCATGTTTATGTAACGGAATTATTTCATATCTTATGGAAGCGAAGTTTTTTAGTTGATTAAATAAGCCATTCTGAATGAAAGAAGAGAACTGATTGATTTAATAAGCTCTTTCTCTGTTCTTAGCTTTCTATTAGTATTTATTATTTCCTTAAATAGACTTGGTTTGCATTTTTTGAGACTTTCACTGACTTTTAAAGTTTGGACTTCGGAGCTTGGAAGATGATTTTATCTAATTTGATGTTATCATATTTTTTAATGTTAAACTTTCTTTTATCATACTTTTTAGTTTTATACATGTCTTAACCTGCATATATAAATATCTTCTCTGTCACATGTATAAAAAAAAATATGCATATTTATTGAAATAATTATTGTCACCGGGATGAATTGGAATTTGTATTTGGTATAATATGTACAACATTTGGATGAAAGGAACGATAACCATTAGATATGACTTATTTCTTCAAACTAAACATCTTTTGAACTGGATTAGTATTCCAACGGCTTTGTCAGATTTTCAAGTAAAAATTTGTTGGTTCACCCTGTTAAAACTCTTATAGATTGCACCTTTTCCACAGTGTAATCCTTTGGATCACAATTCATAACTTCGGCTGTGACACTAACTCAACCACAAGCCATTAGTCTCTTCACAATTTTCTTATCCAAGCATTCGGCCAATGTGTGTTGGTCAATCTTACGATTATAGTCAAAAGATTGCTACTGCACCAGCCACTCTGAGTTCCTCTATCCACTGGATAAATTAAGTCTAAGATTAGAATCCCTAACACTGGTCTGCCCTGATGTGCAAATTGAGAGATGCTCTTCAATCCTTTCTTCCTCTTCCCCCAGACTAGGGGTGGTAAACGAACAAACTGAATCGAATACTAAAATGTTCGTATTTGTGTTTGTTTAAATTATCGAATTTGAACTCGACCTCAAATATCCATGTATGGAGTTTTTCGAATTTGAACTCGAATACTCGGTATTTGATAAATATTAATGAATATTCACGAATATTTATCGAATGTCCAAAGTATATTCATTTTGCTAGATAATTTGATTTTTAAATAATATTTAAATTTTATAAATGAAAATTATTTCTTTATAGTTATGATATACATATATTTTAATTAGCGTTCTAAAAAGAGTCCTACGCGTCCGCCTAATTTCGGGCCGAAGTAGCCGATCTAGGCGGCCGCTCCGCCTAGGGCTAGGTGGCCCGCCTAAGCGGGCCGCGTAGCTTTTTGAACAAAAAAAGAAAGAAAGAAAAAAACCCGAACCCAAACCCGTTGCCGGAACCCGTTACTTAACCCTAACTCTCTCTCTGAAATCCCAATGTCCTCTCCCATCGTCGGCCCTCTCCCTCGGTCCTTTAGTCTTGCCGGTCCCTCTCGCGACAATTTGAAATCACGCCGTCCCTCTCCCACCGATCTCTCCCACCGTCGCCCCTCTCTCTTGGTCCTTCAGTCCCGTCGGTTCCCTCTCCCGTCGCCGCTAGTCCCCTCCCACCACTGCCATCGACCACTCTCTCGGTCGTCGTCGCCGCCGGTCCTTCTCCTGTCGGCTGTCATGTAAATTTTGTTAATTAGTTAACTTATAAACTGTTTTTTAAATTGGTAACTTATAAACTGTTTTTTAATTAGTTAACTTATTTACTGTTTTAGGTAAAATTTTCACTTATAAACTATTTTTAAAATTTAAATAGTTAACTTTGTTCAATTTAGTTTAGTTAATTAGTTTAATTAGTTTAATGAAGTTAATTTTAGTTTAATCTTGTTCAATTTTAGTTAATTGTAGTTAATTTTACTTTAATCTTGTTCAATTTTTCTAGTTCAATTTTTTTTTTCAATTTTATATTAACTTAATACATATTTTTTTGAATTATTATAATTAAATAAATTTAAAAATAGGCAAACGCCTAGGCGCCGCCTAGGTGTTAGGCCCTAGCTCGGACACCTAGTCTGCCTAGCGCCTCCTGTAACATTAATTTTAATCTAAATATTTTATTAGAAAATATATTTAAGATTCTTTAAGTCTCTCAAAATTAGTATATAGAGCTTAAATAGAAAATATAAGTAGGTTGAAAATATAACATCATATGAGTAGTAATACAAATTATAATCGATCAAATTTTAAACGAATATTTAATAAACAAACGAATTGAATTTACATATGATTAAATGCTATTTATTAATGAACTTGAATTATAACTATTATTTATTTAGTGTTAAATAAACTATTGAATTGGATATGACCGAATAGTTACTTGAACGACTAACGAACTATTTGTTAATTATTTGGTTTATTTCCACCCCTACCCTAGACAAGCTTTTAGCAAATGCAGAAATGAGGTGAATTGTTTGCGTGCACATGAACTAATTGGTAAGAAAACGGCTGTGAAATTACATGGTTTTCTGGGGTAAAAATTCATCTTGTTGCATTTTCCATTAATAAGGTCCCCATTGTGTTAAAATAAAATTCACCAGTTCCTCCTCACATGAAATGAGATTTTCATTATTGTTTTTCTTTTATATGACCTTCATTACTCATTTCAAATTAATTACGTTGAGTTCATCAATTTAAATTTCAAAGAAATTAGTGTTCTTTTGTACAATAGTTTTATTCCTCATATCATCATAGAGCAATGCTAACATTATTACTTTCTCTTTATCTCAGACTGAAGCTGCGGCTATAAGGGCCTTAGCTCTTGATGGTGCTGATATGTAAGCAAATCTCCTGACCCAAAGCTACATCAACTTTCCTCTTCTAGCAACTACTCACTTTTGATCCATCTAATTCCATTCCAGGGGTGGATTTTATTTAAAGATACAACCATATAAACCCCAACAACGCCCTCAAAAACCCCTAAAGCCAGAATTCACTCCAAAAATTGTGGAAGGCTACAACAGAATCTATGCAGGAAACTTATCATGGGACATCACCGAGGATGACTTAAAGCAACTTTTCTCAGATTGCAAAGTTTCCAGCATAAGGTTTGGCACAGACAAGGAGACAGGAGACTTCAAAGGGTACGCTCACGTGGACTTTGAGGACCATGTTTCCCTCACGATTGCATTGAAGCTTGATCAGACGGTTGTATGTGGTCGACCAGTGAAGATTAGCTGTGCAGTGCCGAAGAAAGGAGTGGAGTTGGATTTAGAGAAGAAGTCTGAAGATGTTTCAAATGTTGGAAGTTCGAAGAAGAAGAGGAGAACTTGTTATGTTTGTGGAGTTCCTGGCCATCTTTCTTCAGCTTGTCCGAAGAAGAAGAAGAGTGAAGATGTTGATGAAGTAGCAAAGAAAGGAGTGCAGATACATTTAGAAGAGAAATATGAAGATGTTTCGAATGTTGGAAGTTCAAAGAAGAAGAGGAGAACTTGTTATGTTTGTGGAGTTCCTGGTCATCTCTCTTCGGTTTGTCCGAAGAAAAAGAAGCCTGAAGATGTTGATGGTGCTGGTGATGAGAGTTGATTGTAGGTCTAATTGTTGGTATTTGTAACTTTATTGCGACTTATTTGATAGAGGCTCTTGTTACATTCATTTGTTGCGATGCAATTGCTTCAATCACAGAAATTTTGTAGGATTTCTCTCAAATTAACTAAGATTAGTCTGTATGTTCTTCGTTCACAACTTCTAAAGTTTGTTATGAGTGATTGATTAAATATATCTAGAACTTGTGTTGTGATAACTTTTGATGAAATCTCTTGCATGAAAGACCTGTAGAATGTTTGCAGACAGTTGGATGATCTTGGAAAGATACTTAGTATTCTTATAATCATCCTATATAGTCATTTCTACTCTTTTCCTGATAAAAAAAAACGTGAGCTCCTTCCTTGAAAATTTAGAGATTGGCTTTCCATCAATACTCCCCTCTGTTTTGAAATGAGAGAAAATCTCCAGAAGTTAGGAGAGTTTACCAAATTCCCTCCGTATTTTTGAAATTTTGCACACCAACAATTAGACCTACAATCAAAGGAGAAAATCTCCAGAAGTTAGGAGAGTTTACAAAATGCAATTGCTTCATTGGTCCACATATATGATTCACGTATCTTAGTGATCTTCCTAAAGTTCAAGAAATATACTTTGGATTCATTTTGTTAGACTCTTATTAATGATACCGGGGTTAGTTTCCCACCTTTTAGCTCGAAATTTGCGGTTCGTCTAATATTTGCTCGGAATTGAATCAGGACCGTGGAAGTCATATCGAACCTCCTAACTGGGCGGATCACCTGGGGTGGATTTGGCTCAAACTACTACTATTTCAATTTACCTTTCAAAGAAATAACGTTATTTTCCTTTATGAAAAATTGTGGGGGTGAGTGTGAGTCTCCGTACTAGACCCTTTTGAAATTTCTTTTACCCAGAGGGCCTATGTGCTAAAAAACAAATTCCCTTTCTGATGGGTAAAAGTGTCCACAAGAAAATTATGCAAACCCGTGCCCGAAATCCAGACCCGCACCTGATTAGGGTTTTAGAAAACCCGAATTATGCCACATTTGGGTAAAGCAAACAGGCGTCTTTACGGTTTTTTGGCGCAAATTTTCTTTAATTTGAGAGAGAAATCATAGAGAGATGGACGCATCGAAGCTTCTAAAGGAGAAGAAATTCTGGTTCGCATCAGTCCTCGTCGTTTGGGCTGCAGCACTTCAGGTACTTTCCTCCCAAATCCCAACCAAAAAAAAAAAATTCAAAATTTCCCATCGATTTTGATCCATTCGCTGAAGAATTTCTTGACTTGTTTCGATGTTAATTTAGGGCCACATGATGTGGATCAAGAAGCAGGACGCTTTCAAGCAAAAGTTTGGGGACCCCATCGACGCGAAAGAGGATCTCGGGGTCGAGAGGGAAGAGGGGAAGAAGAACAGTGAGTTGCTCGAGGACTGATTCGATCCCGAACCGCAATATCTTGAGGCCTGTAATTCTTACCCCTTTCTCTTTGGTTGTTTATAAAGTACAAATGGGAATAAAAACTTACATTCTGTAGAGATATATGATCTTGCTACTCCATTAAATTGTGGTTTGTGATGAAATACTAAATGGGTATTTTACTAGATTTTATTTTCCTTGTTTGTTTATGTCCTCTTTGCATCGACGCGTTAGCTTTGAGATCGATTGGGTGAATACATTAGGCAAATTGTAGAAATATTTTACAACCTAGCTATGTACAATGTGCATGAAATTGAAATTAGGATCCTCTTGTTCCTAATGAGGTTCTACACTTATTAGGCATTAGCAGATATAAGAATTTTTTGGTGAAAAGTATTTGGTATTGTTAAAACTTGCACATCTCTATATCTAGTTGCCCCTGTCATTTGGGGTTGTGAATTTTCTTTCTGCTGAAAACCCAGTGTAGTTCTATACATTTTTCCGATGGCACAAGGTGCGCGGGACTCCATGTTCATGCTCTCTTGGCGTACATGTATTTTTAAAGAACGTTCACAAATATGCATTAGTTCTTTCTGTCTTCATCTAATCTGTTATTCAAATAACTTGGATAACTACCTCCCTCTCTCTAAACAGGAGAGGGATTTTTTTTACCGTTTTGTTACTTATAATATCGAGTCATTACTTAACAATACCTTAACGTCACTAAGAAAACAAATAATAGAATGATTCAATTCCAGCATGCTGGTATATCAAGTATTTTACTTTTGATCACCCGTGTGATTACTTGGCCTTCGGACTCGAGAGCATGCCTAACTCTGATCCTTTTCTTACTCTACAATGGTTGCAAGGGATGTGCATGAGGTGTCGACCGCTATAGTGTGTGGAATTTCATCTTGGCATGTTTGGGATCGATCCGTGAAGTTAACTACTTGGTTCTTGGTAGCAACTTGGCAAAGTCAATGAGCTGTCATTTCTTTCTTGTGAAACCTCATTTTGGAAATCTTTAGTACACTTCAAATGCTTTGATTCAAACATGTACTTAACTTATGATGCTATCATCACGCCCTATATACGGTATAGAAGATTGATTACACTCTGTCCCTCTTACAACAAGAACACGGCCTAGTTTTGGTCAGAAGATGCGGTATTGATTGATATATATTCAGTTTGATTCTTAACTGAATCAGTTTATGTGCATCAGATAGATGCAAATTTTTTTGTCACACCTCATCCTGTTTTCTCCATAACTAAATGTTGATGGCGTTTCTCTTGCTTTGTCTTGTAACTAATAGAAATTTATTTAGCTGTTTTGAGTTAGCTTGATTAACTGTGCCAGCGACAATAGCCTAGGTGCTGATTAAGAATCCTGCATAAATGTTATCCTGCAAGATATATCTTAACTTTTGTAGCTTTATATGTACTAGCCAACTGCAAGGTGATAACTTGGAGGATGGTAAGGAACCGATGCTTAACTTGAAGAAACTGCAGGAAAAATACTAAAATGTGCCATGTTCATATATAAAATATGTAGTAAATATATTTTCTGGACTAATAGATACATGTTATGTTGGATTAATGGGCCGTTGGGTCCTGTACTGTTGGATTCAACACAAGTAAGCCTAATATGTATTAATGTTTTAAAAAGCTCCCCCTAGCCTACCTTGGCTCCCGTCTATGCCTAGGTGGTACCTAGGCCGCTTAGGCTCTGCTCAGCCTAGGTCTTGAGAGAGCCTAAGGGAACGGAGACCGCTTACGCAAACTGTTCCATTAGGTATTGGTCGTGATTTCATTTGTTGCTGCCTCTACATAATGCTCTGACCTCCTCCGAACTTCTCTAGCATCATCCACCGACTACAAACACCTTCCCCAACTTCTTTAACCTTCACCATAACCTAAACAAAAAAGAAATCCTCCCAAGACTTGGCGCCTAGGCGGTAGCCTAGGCAGTGCCTAGCACTTACAATAAATTTGATTGTAATGATAAAAAAAGAGTCTAGGCCCCATCTAGACTCGCCTATTGCTTTTTGTAAACTTCTTCTGTATATCCAATAGGCAAAATGATGAAGCATCTAGGTTTCGCTCAAAATTCAGATACATCTTCCCCCTCTTTTTTTTAACGATTTAAAGAATCTTTTTCTTTGGATCAATCCCCTCTAATAAATTCAAACCCGAAAAGGATCTTTCTGATTCTCGAAGAATGAGGGGCAAAGGGATTGATCGAGAAAGATCTCTTGTTCTTATTAGATTAGAAGATCGTAATTTGATCCGCATATGTTTGGTAAAAAGAATAATCTTCTCCTTTGATCATAAATGGAAAGTGTTCAATTAGAACATGAAAACGTGAATGAATTGGTCTTAGTTACTCTTTGGGGCAGGGTGGAAGAAGGGAAAAGATTCTCGAACGAAGAAAAGGATCCAATTACTTCGAAAGAATTGAACGAGGAGCCGTATGAGGTGAAAATCTCATGTACGGTTCTGTAGAGTGACAGTAAGGGTGACTTATCTTTGCAAGATACTTAGGCCACCGCATAATTTCACAACTCTAATGCTTTCCTTTTATGAAGAATTGCTCTCGAGTGTGCATGCGCTCTACCTTTCTTCTAGGCCCATTTTTATTTGACAAGATCTCAGCAATCTTTTCTGAGCAGGTTTGCTCTTATTATGACAATCTTCATTAGATCTCATTGATTATTTAGGTGCTCTAAATTCTTCCTCCCCTTTTGTGTTTAAATGAAATTTTACCTATAAATCTCCTCCAAACTTTTCCTCAAACCAGTGAGCAAACTTTTTATGTGGATGAGATGGGATTGAACTCTGAGCCTTGTACCTCAAAAATTATATAGATTTTAGAATCATCTAATTGTAAGGTTGAAGGCTCAAGTTTGTTCCCATCTTATTCATTTGAAAAGGAAAATGAGAGATGAACTGTGGACTTTTGTTCTTGAAAGAGCATGGAGCCAACATGGCAGGCTGGTAGGTCATTATTTCTCCTTATTTTGCGTTAACATGTTAATCTTGTTTCAATCCATGCTAACAATAGAAACAAATAAATTCTATTCTCGAGTTTTTACTTGATTCTCTTTTGAATAATATAAGTTGTTATTGTTGATTCTCTTTTACCATTTAAATGGCAGCGAGGAAAAAAAAATATAATAATCTAGTGAGATCATTTTTAAAACTTATTTAAGAACCTCGAGTTTTTACTTGATTCTCTTTTGAATAATATAAGTTGTTATTGTTGATTCTCTTTTACCATTTAAATGGCAGCGAGGAAAAAAAAATATAATAATCTAGTGAGATCATTTTTAAAACTTATTTAAGAAC